GAGGAGTTGTTGAAAGTGTAAGTAGCAGTTTGTGTCCCAGATCCCCACTCTTCCTCTGAAAGCCAGGTAAATTGCTATTCTCTGAACGGAGCAGAAGATTAATTTTCTAGGTAAAAAGGTGGTCTCTGGAGTGGAAATTTCCAGGAACCATTAAGAGTTTGGTTGTCATGGAAAAAGCAAGTAAATTTTATGAGCTGGATGCTGGAACTTTTAGGCCTATTTTTCATTCTGTTGGGGAAGACCTGTTGCCTTGAGGAGAAAAGTCAAAGGATCCTTCACATGGAATCTGACTAGCCCTGGAGGGAGTAGCATCAAGCTTCACCCAGAAAACAGCCAGGTCGCCAGGCAGGAAGCATGATCCTCAAACCTGTCCCCATGCTCAGGTTTCTTGAGTTTGCTTTTATATGAAGCAACCATTAAGGACATTTTGAGGACCTTTGAGGACAGCCTTAAATGTGAAAGATAAAGACCCAAAATTATAAAAAAGGACAAAAAGCAATGTCAAAGAAACACACCATATAAGAGAACAAAATAAAACTTCAAAAACCACTGATATTTTAGTATTTTCAAAGAAATAGAAGAAATACATCCATAAAACAAGAACAAGACAATAAGAAAGAAAACAAAGGTAATCTACATATAAAAAACAAAACAAAAACAAGGGAACAGAAATGATTTAAATTTTGGAAATTTAAATTTTGATGAGAGAAATGAAAAAAAACAAATAGGAGGTTTAGAAGATGAAAAAGGGGAAATTTTTCAGAAGATATGGTGTAATGATAAAATGGATAGAAAATTGGGAGAAAAAGAATAATATGAAAACTGGAGGTCTAATACATGAGTGATCCAATATCCAATTAACAGGAATTATGTACAGATGAAATGCATTAAAGTCATTTAAAGGAAGTCATTAAAGAAGTTACTAAAAAATTCCTAACATTAAAGAAACCAATTTTTGTGATTTATAAAATTTAAGAATATTGGAACAAAAATTTTGAGAAAAAACAAGCCAAATCAAACAACAAAAATAAGCCCATCAGGACTGGGGTTGTAGCTCAGTGGCAGAGCACATGCCATGAGGCACTGGGTTCAATCCTTAGCACTACATAAAAAGAAAACAAAACAAAACAAAGGCATTCTGTTCATCTACACCTACAAAACAATTTTTTAAAAAGAAGCCCATCAAAACAAGAATAACAAGCACATACAATGAACAAGAGACAGATTTATATCCTCCTAATACCCATACCCATTCTTATGCCAATATCCACAAAGCAATTAAAAACTCCCTAAAAGAAAAACAGAATTAAAGGCACAATTAGCAGGTAGAAAGGAAAAGAAACCTTAGAAAATATTTATGTACCTCTTTATGGGGAAGTAGATTCAACAATATAAAAAATTGAAATTAAAGAAATACCAAATTGGGAAAAATCATTAACATATCTAACAAAGGGTTTAATATGTTAAGTAATAAGTAAAATTTTCATAAAATAGATAAGAAAACACACTAGAGAAAAATGGACAAGAGATATGAACCAATACATATGATGAAATCTAGATGGCTAATATTCTTTAAAAAAATTAACCTTAGTAGCAACCTCAAAAATGTAAATTACAACTTGAGCTACAGTTTGTCACTTCCCAAATTTGTAAAAAAAAATTTTCCATAATAAGTTTGCTTAATAGTGATGATATAAAATAATAGATTCTTGCTGGAAAGTTTTAGATCTTAAGATATTTAATCCTATAATAAATTCTTTTTATCAATATCTAAGGAATTTCATTCATTCAACCTTTATTTTACTGGGTATACCGTTCTGGACAATGAATTTGGAATAAATACATAAGTAATTACCTAATAGAATTTATTCACCTATCAGACATTATGGTTATAAATTATTTTCAGTGAATAGTAAATAGACTTTCTAATTTAATAAGAAAATGTTAAGTACAGCATTTGGATATTGACTGTCAGAAGAAACTCTGACCAATGTCTAAGGCATTTTGCCAAAACCCCCCATTTGAAGTAATAAATTTGAAATATGTATGCATCTGGAAAGATAAAAAGACTCATCCTACAATTTGGGCAAGGATTGCAGTAAAGGGGCTGTTAAACTGATTAGTCTTCAGTCTTCACCTTTTCCAGTTTAAACACACACACACACACACACACATACACACACACACACATACCTGGAGAGGCTTAGAAGGCAATATTTTAAAAGACATAAAGGAAAAACTTCCTAATTTCCAGAAATTCTTCAGGTTTAAGGGACCAAGAATCATTTTCCTAAATTTTTTATTTATTTATTTTTATGTGGTGCTAAGGATCAAACCCAGTGCCTCACATGCTAGGCAAGCGCTCTCCACTGAACCAACCACAACCCCAGCCCTGCAAGAATCATTTTTTAAATCATTCTGATAAGAAGGAAATGCTTTTCTTTTATTGTCAGAACTATCAAATTTCCTTAGATGAAGATTTTTTCTTACTGTAGTTACTATGGGTAAGGATAAAATGGAAGACTATCCGAGAAGGCAGGGTAATTATTCTTTACTGGTGTCATGTGGTTCCACTTGACAGAAGCAAGAAGGCAGTCTAACACTAAAACTGAACATACAAGACTTAGTGAGAAATGACACATCTGGCTAGAGTACAGAAGGCTTACTCTGTCATTTTTCCTGGCAAATTCTGAGCAATTTTGTTGTGAGCACAGAATTACTCAGGAAAACCAGAGTATTTCCTTTTGATGTGCAATATCTGAAGACTATACATTTAAGGAAACATAGCCTCATTCTTCTTAAAATCCTTACAAATGTAGAAATAACGTAATTATAAACAAATGTATAAAACAAAGACAAATATTCAAAGCTTATTAATAGTATATTCAATACAAAATGGGAGCTTGTGTGATACTATACTTTGTATTTGTTATTTCTTGGAGGAAAGCCCCTTAGCATGGTATTTAAGTTTCTGATATTGAACTCTCCTCCTAAATTATTTCACATTCCTCTTTTCTTGTTTTTAGAGCAAGTATTCAAATAGAATGAACTAGTTGGTTATATATTCTGAAATGTTTGATTATATATTCCAAAAAATATGATAATATTATTTTAGAATAATTTTTTTAAATTAAAAATTAGGGTATGGTGGGGACATTATCACATGATACATATAGACCCTTTAAGTCTAGCTTGAGTTGTGATGATTGTAAACAGGAGAGAAGCCAAACTGGATCCCGGGGTTCATGTTCTCATTTCCTTTTTTTAAAATCCAGAATAGACTTAATAGTCCATCATTATAATCATTCTCTTGGTCACCCATCCTTCCACCAACATCCATGTCCTCCTCTCTCTGTATTATAGTTGCCAGGAAAAACCCTAATTCTGACTGAATATGCACTATTTGCTTTTCTCATATCTTTTGGATGACCCTCCTCTATGGGGAATAATTCTGTTGTGCTAGATTGGTTTGTGTAGGGTTGCTATCACTTGTGTAAGACTTGGGGGGACAAATGCCACAAAGCCACACAATATGAGTTATGGAAACAAATGATTGTTATTTGTGGTTATTTCTTTACTATCACTCCTTTTTCCTTCAAATTCTAATTTTCTAGCACAAATGATTGTTATTTGTGGTTATTTCTTTACTATCACTCCTTTTTCCTTCAAATTCTAATTTTCTAGCCTTTTCAATAGATTGTTTTGTTAATTTATTTTCAGTCATTTTTTTCCATTTAAATATAATGAAATATACTTCTTAGTTGTCTTTAGTGGTTTTTGATCTAAACTCTATTTTAAATACATATAGAAGTTTGTGGAAATAGTAATAGTTTGATGAGTTATCACAATTTTTTTTTGTTCTTTTTAGTTATACATGACAGTAGAAAGTATTTTGACATACATACATGGAATATAACTTCCCATTCTTGTGGTTGCATATAATATGGAGTTACATTGGTCATGTATTCATATATGAACATAGGATTCATTCTACTGCATTACAAATTAGCTATTCTGATGGGTATATATGCAGCACCCTGGTTCAGAGCATATTAACTTTACTTTAGAGACTCCATTAGCCCCAACTCACAGCAATCTCTCTTTTTCCCAAATGTAACCATTATTTTTACCTTGAGCATAGATTACTTTGTCTCCTTTGACCTTTATGTAAATGAGATCATGTAATAGATATTCTCTTGAATTTAACCATTTTGCTCAATATTATCTTTATAAAATCTATTTCTGTAGTTTTTGTCTTCATTGTTATACGGTATTCCATTATAGGAATAATATACTACACTTATCCATTCTGTTGGTGATATTTTTGTTGTTTACAGTATTTGGTACTAGAAGTACGTTGTTATGAACATTCTCAGATGTGAGTTTCAGTGCAGAGACTTACACATTTCCTGAGCATGTATAACACTTGGATTATAAAAAATGCACATGTTCTATTTTAGAAGTCACTGTCCAAATAGTTTTCTAAAATGATTATAGTGTTTCATATAGTGTTTCATAATATTGACAATATTATTATAAAATTTTAGCCTCTCGGTAATGGTAATATTCCATTATGGTGTTTAATTTGTAGTTTGCTAATAATTTTTTACATATTAATTTTCAATATTTCTGTATTCTTTCCTTCAGATTTTGTTTTATACACTGCCCTAAAGACACACTGCTACATTTGAGTCACTCACCCAAGCCTTGGTAATTTGGAAGACCTCAAGAGGACAGAACCACGCACCAACTGAGGAGAATAATAGAGCTGCTGACTAAGCCACCATCATTATCTGGATAAAGCTAAATTGCCTGCAGTACAGTCCTCTTGGTCAACAAAAAAGCCTAAGAAAGAATCATCTCATTTGAAAAATAGTTGTATGATGGACCTTGCAGCCTCATAGTACAGCTATTTGATTATTAAAAAGTATCATTTTTCTGCCACCTCATCTATTTAGAACATATCTAAATATTGGGATTTTGCTGCTTATTAAATCAAAACTATGAAGTCTAAGCCCAACTGTGCTCAGAATCCAAACTGTAGCATAATGATATTTCATCCAACCAAAGAAGAGTTTAATGATTTTGATAAGTATATTGCTTACATGGAATCCCAAGGGGCACACAGAGCTGGCCTGGCCAAGGTAATTCCACCCAAGGAATGGAGAGCCAGGCAGTCTTATGATGATGTCAGTGACATCTTAATAGCCACTCCCCTGCAGCAGGTGGTCTCTGGGAAGGCAGGTATGTTCACTCAATACCACAAAAAGAAGAAAGCCATGACAGTGGGAGAGTATCACCTCCTGGCAAACAGCGAAAAGTATAGAACTCCCCCACACCTGAATTTTGAAGATCTGGAGAGAAAGTACTGGAAGAACCGCCTGTATGACTCACCAATTTATGGTGCTGACATCAGTGGCTCCTTATTTGATGAAAGCACTAAAGAGTGGAACCTGGGGCACTTGGGAACCATTCAGGACCTGTTGGAACAGGAATGTGGAGTTGTCATTGAGGGTGTCAACACGCCCTACCTGTACTTTGGCATGTGGAAGACCACTTTTGCATGGCACACGGAGGACATGGACCTTTACAGCATCAACTACTTGCACTTTGGGGAGCCCAAAACGTGGTACGCGGTGCCCCCTGAACACGGTCAGCGCCTGGAGCGCCTGGCCAGGGACCTTTTCCCGGGCAGTTCCCAGGGCTGTGAGGCCTTCCTAAGACACAAGGTGGCCCTCATCTCGCCCACAGTCCTCAAGGAGAATGGCATTCCCTTCAATCGCGTGACTCAGGAGGCTGGTGAGTTCATGGTGACATTTCCCTATGGCTACCATTCTGGCTTCAACCATGGTTTCAACTGTGCGGAAGCCATCAATTTCGCCACTCCGAGGTGGATTGATTATGGCAAAGTGGCGTCTCAGTGCAGCTGTGGGGAGGCCAGGGTCAGCTTCTCCATGGACGCCTTTGTGCGCATCCTGCAACCCGAGCGCTATGAGCTGTGGAAATGCGGACAAGACAGGGCCGTAGTGGACCACACTGAGCCTACAGCGCCTGGTAGACAGGCGTTGACCACCTGGAGGGACGTCCTTTCACGTAGGAAAGCTTCCCCCAGCCTGAAACATCTCCCACTCCGCCAGGCCTCACAATCTGCTCTGCCTGAGTCCGCCACTGGTGAGACCCACTGCAGTGCTCAGGTGTGCCCGATGCCCAACTTACCATCGGCAGCTAGAAGTGCTGCAGTTCAGCCCAGGGCCACAGTCCACAGCTCCCAGGGGCCTGAAACAGTCCCGCCACCGACCCTGCATCCGTCAGTTCTGACTGGCAGACGTGGTCGTGGTCGTCGTCCTAGGGAACTAAGGGTTCAGGAACAGACTTCTCAGGTTCCAGCCAAGAGACGCCTGTCTGCTGGCACAGCCAGCATAGCTCTGGACCCAGAGCGTCGGCTCAAAACTGCTCATGGAGATTTGATGATCAATCCTGAACCTCTAAGCCCTGGGCTGCAGCACCCTGCTATGACCCCTAAGCCCTGAGACTGCCTTTATAGCCTAGTGCTCTGCTGCATGGAAGTTTGCTGAGACAGGTCAAATGTACATCTTAGAACTTTGAATGAGTTTGGGGAACACTGGTCATGACGTGAGGGAGCCCCTCCTGCAATGCCCCTCCTGCACTGCTGAGTCCCTGATAGTTATAAAATTTGGCATACTTTGTTCTTCCTCACTGATCTTGGACTCTGGCAACTCTGGATCTCCAGCTTAGGTATCATCCACTGGATACCTCTGGTGTCTTTGAGAACTAGGTTCCACTGAGGTTGCTGAAACCTGATTTTCCCTAATCTCTCATCCTCCAAACCCATTGTGGATGATGATGCAATTGTGAAGAATCCAGAGCTCTGGTTCTCCTTCAGTTATCTTCCCTTTCCCCACTCACCCTTACCTTTCTTGGAAAATGAGGCATTTTTGACCAATTAGGTTAATAGAGAGCACTGAAAAGAAGGTGATAAGCCTTTTAAAATTTTGATGTATTTAAAATGTATTCTCACCCAGTATTTGTTCACAAGTATATTAAAGGTAATGGAACCAAAATGTTAAAATTTGACCTTATTTCTAATACTATAGTTTCAAACAATGGGGGCAGGTAGTGGAGTATATTCTTTTATGTATGTTTCTTAATTGTTTCAAAACATTTTTTTTTTGTAGGCTAGTTACATTGTGTGGTGATGGTGAGTGGGTTTGGGGATGCACACTGAATTCTGGCTATCTTTTTGAGAGTTTTTTGTTTGCAACCATGTTTGAGGATGATGTGCAGGGCAATGGAAGTTAAGTTGCTGGGAGAGATGATCAAGCATAGGAAAAACATTCTCTTCAAGTTTCTACTGACTTTTGAAAGCTTTTATTATTTTTAAAAATGTTGTCCTAATTAGTTATACATGACAGTAGTATAAGTATATTTCACATTTCCCTTATTCAGCCCAATAAAAAAGTACACAAATCAATAAATGAGACAATTTCAGTTACTATTATGTGTTATGAGCCCCTGGTCAGGGAGAGCTTCTCAGAGCAGAAGACATTTTTGAGGCCCAAATGAGAAAAAGGGAAGGTCCAGAGCAGCATTTTCCACTTTCACAGACCAACAAATGCAATAGACCTAATGTGGAGCTGGGTGATGCTGTTTTCTTAGGAACAGAGAGGAAGCTCATTTGTGTTTTGGGCATAGAAAGGAAGAAGAGGCAGGGCCAGAGTATGTGGGCCTTATCTCATGGTAAGTGTTTGATTCTTTCGTAACTTGAAAGGAGAAGGCATTAGAAGTTGAAAACAGCAGTTGACATGATGTGATTTCCAAATTTCAATAATCAGCTTAGTCTTGTGAAAAATGTGGGGCTGGAATAGCAGCTAGACCATCTAGATAATACAAGTGAGAGTAATGCTAACTTAGACTTTATTGGTAGTATTGAAAATGCACACAGTGGACAAAAGCAGAATGTATTTTTGAAGTTGAAAGTGCTAGTTTTGATAGAGAAAAAAATATTTCAGAGAAGCAAGCCCGACTCTACTCAGTAAAGGCATCCTCACTCCTCCCCACAGAATTTCAGTAAGGCTGTGGAATTGGAAGTACCAGGTAAAATTGAAGACAAGAGTTATAAAAAGTTGTTACATGTTTGAGGTCCTGAGTAAAGGCAGCAAAAGCCCATATCTTCATCCCTAGCTCATCCAGGTGAGCAATTCTGTCTTTTCTAATGTTACAAGAGATGGAAAACCAGGCTGAGAGACTGAACTCAGGAACTCCAGGAACAGAGGAGAATGGGAGTGACATGCCTGACCTATAGGAGCATATTTTCTAGGGTTTCATGTGTGCTTAGGTTTATAAGAAATTGACAGTTTTCCAAAAAAACAGAAAGTCAATATTGAGATGGCGGGACCACAAGATTGAAGCTCACTGTATTTCCTTGAAAGGGAGCAGCCCTAGGGGGCTGCTGGGCCCACAGTATATCTCACATGAGAAACGATTGGATTCGTATCTGGTAAGGACTGAGAGATGGAGGCTTTTATTCCTTCCGATGAAGTTTTATTGCCCCTGGTGTGCACGGACACAGGTTTCCTCTCCCAGTTCCTACAGCTGTGGAGAGATGCCTCACCCAAGGCCATGGCTCTTCTTAGGGAAGCCCATATCAAATGACTGCTCCATGCTGATGCATGAAAGTTTGGCCACCCTGCTCCACCTGGGCCAACTCTGAAGGGCCAGTTCAGCTCCAGAGTTCCTTGCATGATTGGCTTAGACTGTCTTTGAGCCTGAACCTGAGCTCAACTTTTCCCTCTGCTCAACCCTGCCTCAGTCCCTTCCCTTTCCCCTGGCTATGTGTACCCCAAGGGCTCTTCTAAATAAATGCCCCCAGTGCTGAGCTCTTGAAGTCTGCTCCTAGGCAAGAAACTAGAACACCACTCTAGGTCTTGATTGAGAAAGTGAAGGTCTGTGCCCCCTGCTGACATTATATTCCTTCATTGCAAGGTTGTTCAGGGATGTGAGGAATTAGAAAATGCCAGATGATAATCTCTGCTTCCAATTCATGAATTTTTGTTGTAACTCCTGGCAAAAACAGATGCCTCTGAATACTAAAAGTCACAAGGATATGAGGCAAGTTTTGTGCTCTAGGCTTGATAAATCATTTCAAGATCTACCCCTAGATTTAGTGGAAGTACCTCTCTGAGAGGAACAATACCATATTTGGGGCAATCGACATGTGTGTCACAAACTTGTGGCAATTGACAGTCACACAACCTCTTTGAAAAACTGGCAATTTCTTATATACCTAAGCACACATGTAACCCTAGAAAATATGCTCCTATAGGTATTTACCAAATTCAGAAAATCAATTCAAATTCTGTGAACAATTCAAAAGTCTCTGAACAGATGGATGGGAAAAATAAGAATTTATTGAAATATTCTTCATTAGATGAATGGATAAAGAAAAGGTGGTATATATACACAATGAAGTACTACTCAGATAAAAAGAAGAATGACTTTATGTATGTACTGGAAAATGGATAGAACTGGAGGCTATCATGCTAAGTGAAATAAGCCAATCCCCCCAAATCAAGGGTGAAATGTTTTCTCTAAGAAATGGAAGCTAATCCAAAATAATAAAAACAGAAGAAACATCAGTGGAGTAGGCAAAGGGTAATAAAGGGAAGAAAGGAAAGATGAGATAGGGAAAGGAAATGATTTTGACCTAATTTTTCTATGTACATGTTTGAATATACCACAGTGAATGTCACCATCATTGTAAATCCACAAGACACTAATTTTAAAAAATTAGTAAATAGCGGAAAGATTAGAGAAGGAAACAGGGGAGGGACGAGGGGACAGGAAGAGGAAGTACTGGGGACAGAATTAGAACAAATTATATTTCTTGCACTTATGTCAAAATGAATTCTATTATGTATAATTAAAAAGAACCAGTAAAAAATTTAAAAAAAGATAAAGAAATATGGCTTATCAATCTATAGGAATGAACCATGGTTCATGCTATAATAAATAGATGTCAGAAACACGAGGTTGGGCTAAAAAAGTCATTTCCAAGAGAAAACAAGATTATGATTCTAGGGCTCAGGTTGTGGCTCGGTAGTTGAGCACTTGTTTGGCACGTGTGAGGCACTGGGTTCAATTCTCAGCACCACATATAAATAAATAAAGATTCATTGACAACTAAATATATATTTTAAAGATTATGATTCTATTTATATTCCTTTCAAGAATTGGCCAAACTGATCTGCAGTCATAGAAGCTAGCCAGTGGTTGCTTCTAATGGGGAGTGGGGACTGACTAGGAAGTCCAAGGAGGAGAGAATATTATAGGGTGGTTGCTGAATCATCCTACATCATTTTTGGGTGATGACTGCATGATTGTACTCATTTTGGATACTCACTGAAGACCTAAGATTCATGCATTTATTGTATGGATTGTATTCTGAAGCAAACTGAGTAGTAGAAAGGATAATAGCAGAGAAAAAGTGAGAACTGTCTCAACAAACTTCATAAATCTGAGTTCCTAGGTTAGTGGAAGAAAAAATAGAAAGCAGCTCAATCCACAAAACCAAATGGGGATGAGAAATTATGACACCTAGTATGCCACAGGAGTTGGGAGTAAAATTGAGAAGTGCAAGAGGTTTTGTTGAAAATTTATTTGCAAAGTTAGTAGTTGGTGGGTCAGCTCCATCAAATGATCATCCCAGCAAGTCCTTTACAATGATCTCAGTAGAAGACCAGATGTTCTTGTTTTCCAAGTGAGAAACGGTAATTTTAAAATTTAATGGTAGAATTAGATGGTGGATATGGCAGTGCAGAGAAATTTGGGAATTCTGAAAAGTGTCTTAAGGCAGTAGTCTTGGCTGGTGTTCCTGTTTTGAACGACAGATGCTGATTTTTTCTCATCATCTTTCAGTAATATCACACTTTCTTCCCAGATGGATAGATGCTGTGAGAAGTCTTTGCTTTAAAAAAAATTTGGGGGGGGGGGGGGCTGAAAGAAAAAAAAAAAAAGCAAACAATTCATTTTTTTTAAAAAATGTTTCCAATGCTCTCCTATATTTTTACTCTGTAGCATTCATTAGTGTTTATTCCCTGTCTTTGCCCTATAAGTGCAAAGAATGGTACATTAAACCAATTTCTAAATTAGTCTTGGTGGAGATTTAAGAAGTGGAGGAGATCCTTCAAGAAATGTTATTCAGAATTATATGTTACTTGCTGTTGCCACACTCAATCTGAACACCCTCAATTTGGAGCATTCTTCTGAGTAAAACACACCCATATCGACCTGGTATGGTTTGCATGTAAGGTGTCCCCCAAAAGCACATGTGTGAGACAATGCAAGAAGGTGGGAGGAGAAATGACCAAATATAGCTTTCACCTTCTAATCAGTGAATTAATCCCCTGATAGGGATTAACTGACTAGTGACTGAAGTGGTAGGATATGGCTGGAGGTGGTGGGAATTAGGGCGTGGCTTTGGAGTATACATCTGAATCTGGAGAGTGGAATC